GGAAGGAAGGGACGGAGGGGGAAGAGAGGAAGGAAGGGAAAGAGGGGGGAAGGAAGAGAGGAAGGAAGGACAGAGGGGGGAAGGAAGAGAGGAAGGAAGGGAAAGAGGAGGGAAAGAAGAGAGGAAGGAAGAGAGGAAGGAAGGGAAAGAGGGGGGAAGGAAGAGAGGAAGGAAGGGATGGAGGGGGGAAGAGAGGAAGGAAGGGAAAGAGGGAGGAAGGAAGGGAAAGAAGAGAGGAAGAATGGAGGGGGGAAGCGAGGAAGGAAGGGACAGAGGGGGGAAGAGAGGAAGGAAGGGAAAGGGGGAAGGAAGAGCGGAAGGGAAAGGGGAAGGAAGAGAGGAAGGAAGGGACGGAGGGGGGAAGGAAGAGAGGAAGGAAGGGAAAGAGGGGGAAGAGAGGAAGGCAGGCAGAAGAGAGATAAAAGGGACAGAGGATCAAAGAAGAGGTAGACTAGGAGGAAAGGGGAGGAGGAAGAGAGGAAGGGGAAAAGAAGGAGGAGGAGAAGGGGAGGTGACTGCTAGGTCCTGGCCTGGGCTCAGCGGGGTGCGTTTCCCCTGGCCTTGGGCGTCTGCGTCCTGGCCTGGGCCCTGGGTTCGGGCCTCAGGTCTGGGCCTCGGGTTGGGTCCCGGGTTTGGGCCTCAGATTTGGGCCGCGGGTCTGGGCCACGGGCTTGGGCCAGGTCTGGGTTCCCTGTCTGGGCCTCGGGTCTGGGCCTGGTCTGGGTCCCTGTTTGGGCCGCGGGTCTGGGCCTGGTCTGGGTCCCCTGTCTGGGCCTAGTCTGGGCCACGGGTCTGGGCCTGGTCTGGGCTGCGGGTCTGGGCCTGGGCTGCATCCCCCGTCTGGGCCTGGTCTGGGTCCCCTGTCTGGGCCTGGTCTGCGTCCCCTGTCTGGGCCGGGTCTGGGCCGCGGGTCTGGGCCTGGTCTGCGTCCCCTGTCTGGGCCTGGTCTGGGTCCCCCATCTGGGCCGCAGGTCTGGGCCTGGTCTGGGCCGGGTCTGGGCTGTGGGTCTGGGCCTGGGCTGCGTCCCCCGTCTGGGCCTGGGCTGGGCCTGTCCGGGGAGGCCTCGCTGCGCCTTCCAGCTGCTCTTCCTGGCGCTCAGCCTGCCCTACGCCATGGTGCGCGGGGAGGCCTTCGCGCTCAGGGCCGCGGCCCACAGCTACCTGCCCCACTGCACCTGGGTAAGGGGGTCGGGGGGGACGAGGGGAGCCGGGCGGACACCATGCAGCAGCCACGGGCCCTTGCTTGGTCTCCCTGTCCTTGTCTATTCTTTCTGTCGGTCCTGGGGCTTGAACTCAGGGCCTGGGAGCTGTCCCTGAGCTTCTTTTGCTCAAGGCCAGCGCTCTACCACTTGAGCCACAGCGCCACTTCAGCTTTTTTTTTTCTTTTGCTGGTTCATTGGAGATCAGAGTCTCACGGACTTTCCTGCCTGGGCTGGTCTCGAACCGTGATCCTCAGATCTCAGCCTCCTGAGTAGCTGGGGTGATAGGTGTGAGCCACAGGCGCCCAGCTGATGTGTTCTTGTTTTACACACACACACACACACACACACACACACAGAGGGCCTCACCACAAAGCCACCCAAATGTGTCTACATGTGCAGTTCAGGACTCCCTGGCTGTTGATTCCTGAATTCAGACTCCTTTCCACCCAATTCCTCTTCGTTCTTTTGAGACAGAGCCTCACTAATCTCGAAGTCCGCAGCTGTCCTGCCCAAAAGCTGGGATTACAGGCAGGCACCACCAAGCCCAACGGGATCACTCAATGTGTTGAAGTTCCTCTTTTTAAAAAAAATGCTTGAGTTGCTTGTGTTTGCACAAGGCTACATTCTAAGCATTTATTCCCATTTCTGTCCTCTGTGTGCTGGAACTGGGGTTCAAACTCAGGTCTTGAGGGTTGTTGTTTTTTTTTGCGCTCTACCATTTGAGCCACAGCTCCACTTCCTGCTTTTTGGTGGCTAGTTGGAGCTCAGTAGCCTATGGACTTTCCTTTCCAAGCTGGCTTTGAACCATGATCCTCAGATCTCAGGCTCCTGAGTGGCGGGGATTGCACGCATGAGCACCTGCACCCAGCTCCCTGCCAGCTTTTTGGTTCTTGCAAAGTATTAGATAGTATATACCCAGATGGGACACATTTCAGAGTCTCTAGACTCTTCCAGAATGTTCTTCTGGGCATTTCTTCAGGCTTCCTGTCCCCTCTACCTGTGTCCTGTCACCAATTACATTTGGGCTTTGTGGGGGACAGGTCAGTGGAAACGCTGGCGACAGATCGCATGGTCTCTGTCCATACTGATGAAGGGAAGAAGAAAGCCCTGAGCCATATTGGATAAATGAACCCAGAAATGCTACCCCAAGCCAGAAGCGCTGCTTAACGCCATGAAAACTCTCCTCCCCAGGACAGGTGAATTTCACTGTCACCCTGCAAGTGCTGCACACCAGAAGCTGTGTAGGAGTGAGGTGATGGAAAAGCCGGCACCTTACCTGAAGGACACTGTCATGAGGACCTTGCTCATTGAGGCACGCCCATGTCAGCGCTGAGACACCGGGACTAAGTGTCATCCCTACAGGCTTGTGCGCTGTGTGAGATGACGCCATGGTGTTCCCAGGGCTGCAGGCTTCACAATCCCAACTGCGCTACCATTTTTTTTTCTCTTTTTCAGTATTTCCTTTCATTCACTCATTATTTTCTTCTTTCCTTCCTTAACTTCCTTCATTCCTTCCCTCTTTCCTTCCTTCTTTTTCCTTCCCTCCTTCCTTCTTTCCTTCCTTTCTTCCTTCTTTCCTTCCTTCCTTTCCTCCTTCCTTCTTTCCTCTTTCCTTCCTCCCTTCCCTTCCTTCCTTCCCACCTTTCATTCTTCCTTTCCTTCCTTCCTCCCTTCCTTCCCACCTTGCATTCTTCCTTTCCTTCCTTCCTCCCTCCCTTCCCTTTCTTCCTTCCTTCCCACCTTCCATTCTTTCTAGCCTTCCTTCCTCCCTTCCCTTTCTTCCTTTCCTTCCTTCCTTCCTTCCCTTTCTTCCTCCATTCCCTTTATCCTTCCTTCTCTCTTTTTTCCTTCCTTCCTTCCTTCCTTTCTTCCTCCTTCTTTCTTTGCCTCCTTCCTTCCATCCCTCCTCTCCTTTCCTTCATGACTTCTTCCTTCCCTCCTTACTTCCCTTTTTCTCCTTCCTTCCTTCCTTCCTTCCCTTCTTCTTTCATGCCCATCCTGGGCCTTGAACTCAGCACTCTGTGCTCTTAGCTTTTTTTTCATTCAAGGCAGGTGCTCTACCAATTGAGACACCTCTCCATTTCCAGCTTTTTGCTGGTTCATTGGAGATCAGAGTCTCATGGATTTTTCTGCCCAGACTGGCTTTGAACTGCGATGCTCAGATCTCAGGCTCCTGCGTCACCGGGATGACAGGCGTGCGCGCCAGTGTCTGCGCTGTTCTCATGCTTTCTTCTCCATATTTCCCGGCACAGTCAACATTATTTTTTTCTTTCCATACAAAGCCTGAAAGAACAGAAAAAGAGGAGACTTTCAACTCTCCGTCCTGTGCATCAGGTAAGTACAACATAATTGATCGAATTCTTAGATCAATCCATTTACCAAAAAACACAGTTGCATGCCAGGCACTGTGGCTCATACCTGTAATCCTGGCTACTTAGGAGACTGAGGTGTGGCCTAAGTGGAGAGCCACCAGCCTTGAGCAGAAAAGCTAAGGGACAGCACCCAGAATCTGAGGACTAGCCCCAGTACACACACACACACACTACACACACACACACACACACACACACACACACACACACACGGAAAAACCCCAACTTGCTGCAGAATATGTTTGGGGAGGAGGGATGGTCCCAGGACTTGAACTCAGGGCCTGGGCTGTCCCTGAGCTCTTTTGCTCAAGGCTGGTGCTGCACCACTTGAGCCACACCTCCTCCTTGGCCTTTTGCTGGTTAATTGCAGGTAAGGGTCGAACAGCTTTCCTGCCAGGGTTGGCTTGGAACTGTGATCCCCTGATCACAGTCAGCTGAGCAGCTGGGATTACAGGCATGAGCACCGGAACACACTCTTAACACACATTTACAGAATGCAACTGATTATGTAAAATCACTAACAATAGCAGGAATTAATACAAGTCATGCAGAAAAGAAAATGAGCAGGTATCTGATTATAAAGAAATAACTATATATGTATACTTATTTTTCAGCTGTTATTGAGATATGTATCCTATAATATATAAATAATATATGATATATTACTATATTGATTATATATTTTATTAATATAACATCCCTATATATGATTATATAGTGGTTTGGTGGTTTTTTTGGTCAGTCGTGGGGCTTGAACTCTGGGCCTGGGCGCTGTCCCTCAGCTCTTCAGCTCAAGGCTGGCGCTCTGCCCCTTGAGCCACAGCGCCACTTCCAGTTTTCTGGTGGTTTATTGGAGATGAGTCTCACAGACTTTTCCTGAACCATGATCCTCAGATCTCAGTCTCCTGAGTAGCTAGGATTACAGGCATGAGCTACCAGCACCCAGCATAGTATAATTTTTATATGTATTTATTATATACTATATAATTATACATATTTATATATTATTTGTTTATATTATATACCATAGGTTAGATAGTATACTTATATATATTATTAGCATATTAATATGGTAGCAACATATTATGAATATACAGAGTATAATTACATGTACATATTATATGCTATATAATTATATATTTTATAGTATGTATTATATGTTTGTTATACACTGTTACATATTATATATTATGTTACTAACATTAATGATGTATAATATATGATTGTATATATCATATAGATGTATATGTAGTTATAGAAAGTGTATCATTAATTTCTTTATATGTATATGTGAATATATATTACTCTTCATATATAAGTATATATAAGTATACATAAATATAAGTCTATATGTTTATAAATACATATGTAAGTATATATATGTACATATAAATACATATGTAAATATATATATATATATATATATATATATATATGTGAAGATTAAGAACTGGCTGAGAAGGTGAATTCTGGCTGTAGGGAGGCCTGGGATTGTAGCGAACCAATTATAAAATATCCAAGAGATGAGCAAAAAGAAGCATCCAGGCCCTGAGGTCGAGCCCCAGGACTGGAAAAAAAAAAATGTCCAAGAGAACCAGGACATTGGATCAGGCTGGAGTAGAGGAAGGAGACTCAGGCTCCGTCCCCCTGCTCCATGTGCATGTGCATTCCTTCACCAGCCAGCACAACGCCGGAAGAGCTGTGGCTGAAAGGTCCTTCCAACGTGGTGCCGGGTCAGCCAGAGCCACGAACTCCGTTCTGGGTGAGTCACGTGGGCCACGGGGCACAGCTGCCCTCGCCCGAGTTCTAATTCAGGGAGTCTTCACAGGCACCATGATTGGACCCCAACATTCAGCGTCAGACGAGGGAAATAGTGCCCTGCTAGCACAGTGGCTCACGCCTGTCATCCCAGCCACTCAGGAGGCCGAGATCTGAGGATCAGGGTTCGAAGCCAGCCTGGGCAGGAAAGTCCATGAGACTCTGATCTCCAATAAGCCATCAAAAAAAGCTAGCAATGGAGATGTGGCTCAAGTGGTAGAGCACCAGCCTTGAGCACTGGAGTTCATGCCCTAGCACCAACACGTGCACACGCACGTGTGCACACACACACACACACAGGATGGTACTGTGTGTTTGTTGGAAAGAGGGTTTAATTAATGTGCTCTATGTCACACTTTGATGCACTCTAAAACTAAGAAGGGTCTGCAATATAAATATGATCATCTGCATCCATTGCTTTCTGTTTTCTCGAACCATCTATTTTTCTATTTTATTTACCTTTTCCTTTCTACTTTCTGGTTCTTTTTTTTTTTGTTTTTTGGCCATGGGGCTTGAACTCTGGGCCTGGGCGCTGTCCCTCAGCTCTTCAGCTCCAGGCTGGCGCTCTACCACTTGAACCACAGCTCTATTTCCAGCTTTTCTGCTGGTTCATTGGAGATAAGAATCTCACAGATTTCCTGCCCAGGCTGGCTTTGAACCACGATCCTCAGATCTCAGCCTCCTGAATCTCTGGGATTGCAGACTGGTTGGAATCATGAACCTGTGTTCCTGTCGATTTTTTAAAATCATTTTCATTCTCCAGGTGATATACTAGGTTCTGCAATGCAAAACCTCCAGAACCTTCTCCAGCTGCCCCATGGCTGTGGAGAGCAGAATATGATTCTCTTCGTCCCCAACATCCATGTTCTGAACTATCGGAACGTGACACAGCAACTCACAGAGGAGATCAAATCCAAAGCCACCAGCTACCTCGTCAGTGGTGAGGAACTACCCCGAAACAAGAAAGCTTGTCAGGACGCTGGTGCTCACGCCTGCAATCCCAGCTACTCAGGAGGCTGAGATCTGAGGATCGCAATTTGAAGCCAACCCTGGGTAGGAAAGTCCATGAGACTCTTTATCTCCAAGGAACCACCAAACAAAAGCTGGAAGTGGTGCTATGGCTCAAGTGGTAGAACACCAGCCTTGAGCAAAAAACTCAGGGACAATGCTCAGGGCCCAGGACCAGCACAAAAAAAGGAAAGGAAAAGGGAAGGGAGGGAGGGAGGGAGGGAGAGAGGGAAGGGAGGGAGGGAGGGAAGGAGGGAGAAAGAAACAAAAGAAAAATTGTAGTTGAATCCCTAGATATCTTTTGGTGAACTCGGATCAGCTTCTCTTGTGTGAACATTTGATATTCATTGCTGCTATAATATCTAACAAAAGTGTCCCACGATACAATCAGAGAAAATAGGTGCTGATGGACACGCCTGTAATCCTAGCTACTCAGGAGGCTGAGATCTCGGGATCACGGTTCTAAGCCAGCCCAGGCAGAAAAGCCTATGAGACTCTCATCTCTAGTGAACCAGCCAAAAAGCCAGAAGAGGAGGGGTGGTTCAAGTGGTAGAACATTCACCTTGAGCAAAAAAAAAAAAAAGCTAAGCAAGTGCCAGGTCCTGAGTTCAAGCCCCAGTACTGGCATGTGCACGCATGTGCATGCGCATGCGTGCACACACACACAATACACTAATAAGAGATTTAGATGATATCATCAGCGCTTGAAGACAACTTAGTAAATGATAGTTACCTTGTTGCTTGGTAATATTAAGGGGAAAGCATCATCGTTTTCCAATAACCTTTCTTCTCCAGGGTATCAAACACAGTTGAATTATAAACACAGAGACGGCTCGGACAGCACATTTGGAGACCAGGATGTCAGGACTCCCGGGAACACATGGTGAGATTCCAGGGTTGCTATACACGCCCGGCTCATCCAGGATTCTTTCAGGGTCCTAGAAACAGCTTTTCTCTAACCCCTGAAATCCTTTCATGTAAGTTTGTGCCTCCCGCCTGTCGGCCCAGCTACTCAGGAGGCTGAGCTCTGAGGATCGTGGTTGAAAGCCAGCCAGGGCAGGAAAGGCCATGAGACTCTGATCTCCCATAAACCACCAGAAAACCGGACATGGCGCTGTGGCTCAAAGTGGTAGAGCGCCAGCCTTGAGCTGAAGAGCTCAGGGACAGCGCCCCAGGCCCTGAGTTCAAATTCCAGTAGTGGCATCCAAAAGAATCTACATAGATGTCACATTCCCTGGGGAAATCTTTAAAACTTCATCTCCTCGGATAACACAGCAGTCAGTGGTCCCTTGAGCAAAGCCTCTGATAGACACACCAGGCAGGAAGTGCACTGCGTGAGGAGGAGGGGGACACACGGGGAGAGAGACGGGGGGGGGGGGGGGGGGGGGGGAAGGCAGGGAAAATGCAGTCTGGATCGTGGAGAGCTTTAGAGGCACCAACAAGTGAGGAAAGAGGAAGAGGAGGGGGAGGAGGAGGAGGAGGGGAGGGAGGAGAGGAAGAGGAGGAAGAGAAGGAGGAAGAAAAGGAAGATTGAATCAAGCATCAAGCTCATACCTGTAATCCCAGCTACTCAGGAGGCAGAGAGCTGACAATCATAGTTCTAAGTTAGCCTAGACCAAAAAGCCCAGGAGACTTTATCTCCAGGTAACCTACAAAATGCCACACCCACCATGGTTTTTAAAAAAGCTGAGTGTGAGAGTGTGAGAGTTTTAGTTTAAGTCCAAGAGCTAGCACAGAGAGCAAGGAAGGGAAGGGAAGGAAGAAAGGAAGGCAAGCAGAAAGGAAGACAACAGAAGAAAATAAGAGATCTGCAATTAAATGGTGAATAATACATGATTTAATTAAATAAATGAATACTAATTACATGATGATTAAATACATGATAGTTAATTACTAAGTAAGTTGGCTCTCAGAGCCACTGCTCCGGGGTTGTGGGGGGTCTGGGGCCAGGGCTGGCAGGTATGAACCATGCTGGGCAGCCCCATCTCCAGCAGCGCGATGCTGACATAGGCAGAGAGCGAGACTTCATCGCCCCGTGCAGGGATGAGGGGCGGGGTCTCACACCCCGGACCACAGGACATTTGCTCTCCTTCCCCTGTGTCAGCTTTGTGAGTTTCTTCTGTGTGTGCCTTTGTGTTGATTTTCCTAAAATCGTAGTCTTCCCAAGTCATCCTTGTTACTGTCGTTCGTTTCTAACAACCTACAAGTTTTGTTTTTGTTCAGTTTTTTTTTTTTTTTTGGTCAGTTATGGGGCTTGAACTCAGGGCCTGGGCGCTGTTCCTGAGCTCTTTCACTCAAGGCTAGTGCTCTACCACAGTGCCACTTCCGATTTTTGGTGGTTCCTTGGAGATGAGAGTCTCACAGACTTTCCTGCCTGGGCTGGCCTCGAACTGTGATCCTCAGATCGCAGCCTCCTGTATAGCTGGGATGACAGGCGTGAGCACCAGCGCCCGGCTGCCAGGTTTAGTACTATTTTGCATTGTTAATGTGTTTCTACATTGGTGGAGGGAGGTGGTCAGAAGGGCCCAGAACTGTGTGAGAGCTAGGTCTGGAGGGGGGGGGGTCAGTGGAGGCCGGGACTGAGAACAGACTAGCGAAGGTCACCTTGATGGCGTTGTTAAACAAAGACCTCCAGGCCTGGAAGCATCCGTTTTGCTTCTGTTTCTGCAAGAGCCAGTGGAGAGTACTCGTGACGGGCCTGCTGTCCACCAAGATGTAGGGCTGCGTGTGCACCAGCGACTTGAGCACGGATGCAGTGAGCCTGGCCGGCCAAGAAAGCAAAGGAAACACTGAGGTGGAGGCCCTCGGGGAGAGGCCCATGGGGAGAGGCCTGGGGGGGGAGGCCGCAGGTGAGGAGGCCACGGGTATGGGCGGGTCTGCCCACAGCAATGGGGCCAAGGGGAAGAGAAGGGCGGGGAAATGGGGTGGGAATCCTCCCAGCTAGCAAACTTTGCACTTCTAATCCCAACTTTATTGTTTGCCCACCCTGGAGGGGTTCTCTCTTCCCTTTTTTTTCCTTTTCCCTTCCATTCCCATTTCTTGCTTCCTCCCTTCCCTCCCTCCCCTCCCACTCTCTCCCTCCTTTCCTTCTTTTCCCTCCCTTTCCTCTCTCCCTCCCTTCTTTCCTTCCTTCCCTCTCCCTCCCTCCCCCCTCATTCCTTCCCTCCCTCTCTTCCTTCTTTCCTTCCCCCTCTCCCATGCTCCCTCCCTCCCTCTTTTCCTTCCTTTCTTTCCTTCCTCTCTTCTTTCCTTCCCTTCCTTCTTCCCTTTCTCTCTGTCCTCTCTTTCTCCCTCTCCCTCCCTCCCTCCCTCTCTTATTTTCTTCTGTTGTCTTCCTTTCTGCTTGCCTTCCTTTCTTCCTTCCCTTCCCTTCCTTGCTCTCTGTGCTAGCTCTTGGACTTAAACTAAAACTCTCACACTCTCACACTCAGCTTTTTTAAAAACCATGGTGGGCACTTTACCACTTGATCCATGCCTCCAGTGTGGCATTTTGTAGGTTACCTGGAGATAAAGTCTCCTGGGCTTTTTGGTCTAGGCTAACTTAGAACTATGATTGTCAGCTCTCTGCCTCCTGAGTAGCTGGGATTACAGGTATGAGCCGTTGATGCTTGACTCCATCTTCCTTCTCTTCCCCCCCCCCCCGCCTTGCCTTCCCAGCTACACGGGGGAACGGCCTAGCTCCAACATGATCATTGTGGACGTGAAGATGGCTTCCAGCTTCGTCCCTGAGAGAATCTCAGTGAAGCAGGTGAGCTGTCAACAGCACAAGATGCGTTAGACCGTGCGCGTCAATGACGATAATTACGGTCAAGTTGATTGTATTCATACAGTTACCCAAAGACTCCTTGCTGCGCGCTGGTGGCTCCCGCCTGTCATCCCAGCGACTCAGGAGGCTGAGATCTGAGGATCACGGTTCAAAGCCAGCCAGGGCAGGAAAGTCCATGAGACTCTGATCTCCACTGAACCACCAGAAAACCAGAAGTGGCGCTGTGGCTCAAGTGGTAGAGCACCCGCCTTGAGCTGAAGAGCTCAAGGACTCTTTGGACTCTTGTTTAGTCTTTCTCTCAAGGCTGGTGCTCTACCACTTAAGCCACACCTCCACTCCCAGCTCCACACTGGTTAATTGGAGGTGAGAGTCTCTTGGATTTGGCTACCTTAGGCTGGCTTTGAGCCTTGATTCTCAGATCTCAGCCTCACGCAGAGCTGGGATTACAGGCATGAGCTACAGCACCTAGCTGTAGTAGATATTTAACAGTAGATATGATGAAGATACATTGCCAAATAGAGAAAGAAATCACACACATGAAAAGAAAATTAAGCTGAGCGCTTAGTTCACGCCTGTCATCCCAGCTACTCAGGAGGCTGAGATCTGAGGATCACAGTTCAAAGCCAACCTGGCAGGAAAAGTCCATGAGACTCTTATCTCCAATGAGCCACCAGAAAACCGGAAGTGGCGCTGTGGCTCAAGTGGTAGAGCACCAGCCTTGAGCTGAAGAGCTGAGGGACAGCGCCCAGGCCCAGAGTTCAAGCCTCATGATGGACAAAAAAGAAAAAAGGAAGAAAATCAAAGGGTGGACATGTGCATATAATAAAATCAAACACACGCACATATGAACCAATACATATTTGTAACATGTAGGTATGAGAAAGGAAGCAGGAAGAGGAAGAGAAGGACTTCAACAAATAGCATTCTCATCATTACTACTGTGTGTGTGTCTGTCTGTCTGTCTGTGTTCAGGTCCTGGAACTTGAACTCAGAGCCTGGGCACCATCCCTGAGCTCTTTTTGCTCAAGACAGGCGCTTTACCACCTGAGCCACGGCTCCACGTCCTGCTTTTGGGTGGTTCATTGGAAATGAGCATTTCACGGACTTTCCTGCCCAGGCTGGCTTTGACCCTCAATCCTCAGGTCTCAGCCTCCTGAGTCGCTGGGATGGCAGATGTGAGCCACCAGTACCTGGCTCATTCTTCCTAATTTTATTCAAAGAAAGAAACAGCAGTAGTTGGTATAAAATTCAGCCACGGGTAGAAAATGTCTTCCATCCCTGCTTCTGGCTTGTGTCCTCTTTCTTAACAGCTCCAAAACCGAGCTGACATTCAGCGAACAGAAGTGAGCACCAATCACGTTCTGATTTACCTGGAGAAGGTAAGACTCTGTGGGACAGCCAATCCATGCCGGCTGCAGACACACGGGAAGAGGGGTGGTCTACACTGGAGGATAACACCTAAGCTACCACATGGGATTATCCACAACCTCTTTTCTATTTTTAAATGTCAGTCCTAGGACTTGAACTCAGGGCCTGGGCACTGTCCCTGATTTTTCTGCTCAAGGCTGGTGCTCTACCACTTGAGCCACAGCGCCCTTTCCAGCCTTTTGGTGGTTGCTTGGAGATAAGAGGCTCAGCCATCATTCTGACTAAGTTCTCCTCTCTCCCCAGCTAACCAGAGAAGTCGTGAGTTTCTCCTTTTCGGTAGAACAAGATGTCGAAGTGAAGAACTTACAGCCAGCCACAGTAAAGGCTTATGATTACTACAAGACCGGTGAGTGGGACTCAGATGTGCTGAGCTTGGATAGAAAACACTGATTGATCGAGCCCGTGGCTCACTCCCGTCATCCCAGCTACTCAGGAGGCTGAGATCTGAGGATCACGGTTCAAAGCCAGCCCAGGCAGGAAAGACCGTGAGACTCTGATCTCCCATGACCCACCAGAAAACCAGAACTGGCGCTGTGGCTCAAAGTGATAGAGCGCCAGTCTTGAGCAAAGAGAGCTGAGGGACAGCGCCCAGGCCCTGAGTTCAGGCCCCATGACCGGCCGCAATCAATCAATCAATCACAAAGCAATTGGTGGTTAGTTCTATCCTATTTCTCAATAAAAATGTTGTTTGCTCTGGGCTGAATTAGTCTAGAAAGACAAGACTAGCAAGAACCGAGAGACCACATGTCAGTACTGGCATGTGACATAAGACTGTTTTAACAGTCTGGCCAGGTACTAGTGCGCACGCCTGTAATCCCAGCTACTCAGGAGGCTTAGATCGAAGGATCACATTTCCAAGTCAGCCTGGGCAAGAAAGTCTGTGAGACTTTTTATGCCCAATTAACTACCAAAAAAGCCAGACATGGCGACGTGATTCAAGTGGTAGAGCACCAGCCTTGAGCAAAAAAGCTAACAGCGCCCAGGCCCTGAGTTCAAGCCCCAGTATGGTGCACGCACGCATGTTTTTAGATTAAAGAAGGTCCAGCAAAGAAAGCACAACTCCAGTGAAAAATCTCCCAGGGAGACCAGCACAGCGCCAGGCACACCAGTGTATAGACTGCCCTTAGTTCCAGCCCAAGCCCAACAGTCACTCAGTCTCCACCAAATTCAGATGTCTTTGGGTAGACTAAGTCATTGTCTTTTCCTATGAGCCTCGGTTTTATGCCTCCTTTTCCCCCTTGGCTCTTCCAATGTCTTTGCAGCTTGCTTAACCCTGCCCAATGTGTCTTCGTCGTTCAGATGAATACGCCATTGAAGAATACAGCATCCCCTGCAGAGCCGGTAAGGTAGAATAGTTACTGAAATGTGCATCAAAAGAATATTTATAAATGCCAGGTGCTGTTGCTCACGCCTGTCATCCCAGCTACTCAGGAGGCTGAGATCTGAGGATCACGGTTCAAAGCCAGCCCAGGCAGGAAAGTCCATGAGACTCTGATCTCCAATGAAGCAGCAAAAAGCCAGAAGTGGAGCTGTGGCTCAAAGGGGTAGAGCGCCAGCCTTGAGCACAAAGAGCTCAGAGACAATGCTCAGGCCCTGAGTTCAAGTCCCAGGGCCCACACACAAGAAAGTTCTGAACGTTGACCATATTGGAATGTGAAACGTTACCCTTCTAATAGGTCACAGGATTTCCTTAATATTTGTATCTGTGCTTCTGTTGTTTAGAACCTGAACAAAGAAATGCTTGAACATGGAAACTTGTGGATTTCATCCAATGAGCTTCTCCACCCACGAAGAACAAAGACTTACTAGGAAGGAGGAGAGT